AGTTATAAGCGTTTTTTGACGAACGAATTTTTTAGTTAATTTTTGTGCAATGGATTTGCAGAAAGAGTTTTTTTTTTGTAGGGGTAGAGTTTTTTAGTAAGTATTTGACTTGTTTGATTATATTGCCTAATTTTTTGAGATGTTGATATAGAGATGATGCCTTTGTAGAAAAGATATTTTGAAAGTTTCTGATAATAAATTTTTTATTTGAAATATATTGTATAGTAGTAGAAGTAATATTGTTTTGGATTTTGTGACAGGAAGATTCAAGTGATTCTGAGATTTGTGTACTAAGTGGAGTTTTGTTATTATTAAGATTTAATATTATTTGGTCTGCAAATTGTTATTATTTATCTTTATTCATATTTTTTGTATAAGAATATCTTTCTACGGGTTTTGGTAAGATGTCTGAGTTTGTCTATATATGTATAAGAGAAGAGTCAATGGGAGTTCAGAATTTTATGATCATTCTGAGTACTGGTATCAGAATCATCTATAGTAAAGGAGTTGAGATATCGAAAGAGAGATTGATTGGTCCAAATGTAGTCTATACTGCTCTGGTATCTGTTGCTTTGCCAGGTAGGTGTTGAATTGTTTGTATATGTAACCAGGTTATACATGTTATTGTATTGAAGGAAATGAAGTAGTTTATATTTAGTTGATAAGGAATAGATGATGTTATCAAAGGCATTGAAGTCTCCCAGGACAATAGGTTGAATGTTTGATGTGTAGGCTTGTTGAAACCATTGTATTACAGTATTTTGTACTGACAATCTTAATTGGATATTATCACATGGTAGATAAATATTATTAAATCTTAGTTATAAAATATTTAAATATTAATATAAATCTTATATGCTATAAGCTATTATACATCTACTTAACAAATGTCTTAATACAAATAATATATTAAAATAATAGAAAATAACAGAATATATCAAATTTTTAAAAAACCAACTTTGATAACAATTTAAACAACATATAAGCTATTAATTTATTTAATTAAAGTATCATTTATTTTATTTAAATATTATAATTTATTTTACCAATAAGACAGAAATAATTCTGTCATTTTACTAAATATCAATTAATTGACAAGTTTATTTTATTAAGTTTATTTCATTGCATCTATTTTATTGACAAAGTAATTTGGTCATTTTTGTTAGAATTAGAGTTAAGGTTAATGCAATTTCTTAAAAAACCTTTCAGTAAAATGAGTTGTTAGTAAAATAATTACCGGTAAAATAATTTATCAGTTAATTAATTTTCAGTAAAATGCATACCTATTTTTGTCCGTTTTTGTGCACTTTAAAATTTAAACATTGATTTTTTTTCTTTACTTCTTACAGAGAGCTGTGTTTAAACCGACTCCTCTTAGATGGAAGATTATTAGAGATTATTTTTAATGATAGCTTTCTAGCATCCTCTTCGAAGTCAAAGATGATGTTTGTTACGAATGGTTACTGTGTAATGTTACGTTCTCAAAATATTCTAAAACATATAAATAAGTTACCCGGGCAGTTGATTTGCATTAGCCAATCGGACGAATTTATGCCTATTAGATGCAATCATGCATTAGAGAAATTAAATAGATAGAGGGTTCGATCGATGAGCACGAATTTTTTACTTTTGATTTTTGTTGCACAAAATCTATATCTAATAAACAGGGTTGTTTTGCCTTGTGTATTAGGAATGGAACGTTGTCTGTGAAGGAGATGTCAGGTATAGACGTATGGAAGATTGTGGTAAACTTAAAGCAAGTGTATAAAATAATAATATATACACTGAGCGGATTTAAGTGTAAAACCAAATAATTAACCACGTCACTCAGATGAATTTTCATGTTATCAATCATATTTTATTGGAAACCATTTAATCACATATTTTTTTTTCTTACTGTGGTTCATAAATGAGTACATGAAATCATAATAAACAAAATTTTAAGACTATAACAAGTAAATGGAAAAGATTTAAAAACATTTTTTTAAGAATTAAACATACAATCCCACCATATTTATAATATCTAACCTTAGTCTATTAGTATAATTAACAAAATTAATTAGATTACAAAATTAATGGTAATTACATGAATCATTGTATCGTATTAAGCTTGGGTCATTAATTTATTGAAGGGGGGTTTTTTTTTTTGAGCATAAACACGTACATGCAGATTAAAACCATCTAATTCTATTATTTCTTTTGTCATATCTTTAACTAAACAGTCGTATTCTTCACAAGAAACATTAATTATATTTATAAGTGAAGATTTAATACCTATAAGGGCAGTGGCGTAATCTTCAGCAAGCTAAATTATGGATATAATATTATTAATATTTAATTATTTGATGTAGTCTAATTGTTTTTACATTAAAGTTTTACCATTTTGATCGTTTTGCTGGCAAATTGACCGTCCAGTTGTTTCTTTTCTTCATAATGAACATTATGAAGATTGGTATTTTCTTCTAAATAATTTTGTATTTTATCGCATACAGCCGTGTCTAATCCACGTTCATGAAGCAGAATAGATACTTAAAGCATATATGTATATGATAAAGTTAGAATCTTGAATTTTAAGGAAAATCTTGATGAATGAATTGATGTAAATACTTACAGCCATCAATAAGCTTTCTT